CTTGAAAAAAGTGTGGACGGTTCAGCAACTTAGTCGTATGCTTAGGAGCCGCTTCTGCGCCAATCGCAGGCGTTCCTTGAAGGCGTTGAAGCACAGATGGCGCTCCCGGTTTTGCGTGGATACCTGAAGTTATACACATCTTTGCCAACGAAGAAACTAGCATCGTTCATGGATGTGACGATAATAGAACTACGACTCGTTCTTAGGAAAGTTACTGACGTATAAGGTTACGTTTTTTGAAAGCATTTGACAGACGACTTCCTTTAAAATTGTGTTGCATTAGATGGTAGTCAATGAACTCGGAAAGGATACACTGGCGTCTTCAAATGACGATGATGAACCGAATACGGACATTGACTTCTACGTCGATAAGGTAGGCCATTTCAAGCTTTGTGTGACTCAATTTGAGATTGGGTAAAAATGTTCTAGTAGGTAATCACTAATGTCATCTCTCTGACCAGACTCATGAAATATGTCCTCTTTGCATGAAAACGGGTTCTGCCAATCCCAGAGTGTAACATAAGTGCCAAACAGATGAAATAACACCCAACAGAGATAAAATAGGTAGTAAGTAGTGCCACCCCCACCGTGCTAAATATCTCACTGTGAGGTGAAGGTAATGATAAGGAGCATGCGTGCTAAGTATCTTCACTGTGAGGTGAAGGTAATGATAAGGAGCTGCATGCAAGCGATAGGTAACTCACTGTTTTAGGGTTAATTTCCCTGCCTCTCCTTCTAGCTCTATTCCAGTTTGGAAACGAGATTCAAAATGCGATGTAGTGTACAGCCTATTCTGCCAACGATGAGGCAGCAAGCCGCATTTTGCTTGAAACTCGCGAAGCCACCTATAGTCATCGAGGCTCGTCTCGAAGGCGAGTTCAATATTCGGAGCATTTCCTTGGTTGGTGGGCGCAAAGGTCGCAGTTTTATGTGAATGGCAGGAGGGGACATCTACGTAGGATCATTGGAGGTACTCTTTCGTTAGGGAAGTGGGGTGAGGGAACAGCTGGGTAGACGACGACGATTGTTTTTTTTCGAGCGAAGTTGGGCGAAGGAATATCTTTGACTGCGGTTGTTTTCCTTCTTCGACAAAAATCGTGAGAAGTCTGACTCTGTCTGCAAGAAATCGCGCAATACTGCCGTTGTCATCTTGAAGAAATTCGTAAGGTCGTAAAGTTAGGCTAATTTTCTAGTATTTAAGGTCGAGTTTCATCTGATACTTTTCTATTAAAATGAGGATAAAACCATGAATGTTGCGCAGGTTGTACATATGTGGTATATAACTTGAAAACATGCAGTGTTCGTTCCAAGTGGCGAGCGAGACCCTAACCTACTAGTTGAGACTCGGACCTGCTAGTTGTAGACATTTCATGAGGTTGGGCGGGGTCTCTTCGAAGTGGGCGGAGCTTCTCATTGCAGGCGAGCTTCCCGTAGCAGCCCAACTCGCCAAAGTTTCGAATAATACCTGAAATTATGCAGAAAAACGCAAAATAGGCGTGGTTAAGGGAGGGAGAGTGACTTAGCGTGTCAATGCGTGAATGCGCCTCCATGAGTGCCGTCGTTGTGTGAAAAGTGGATATGAAAAAGCGACCTTAGGAGCAATTGTGAAAGGAATGCAGCTAAAACTTCTTTCTCCAGATTCCGGTCGAAGTTCGGTGTCAACCTTTTTCAGTTAGTTTGTATGTGAAATGGCAACGTGGAAAAAAAATCACGTAATCAAAAGTTACAGAAGTAACTTGAAAAATCATGGCCGCGCTGGAATAAGGGCGTGGCTGTTTGGGCGGGACTCGCGGTAGTGTCTAATGTGATCTGGTTGGTTAATGTTCAATGGCAAGAATTAGCTGAATTTAGCCTGATAAGTCGTGTCTTTAAAATGAGAATGCTATCTAAAGCTCGTTCTTGTAAGTGATCCTTTGCCGTCGTCTTGGAACCCGTTGGACAAGACGAATTAACCACGTAGTGCACTCTCCCCAGTTACACTTCTAAGCTTGTCTTCAGTCTCATTCCAGCAACCGTGAGCTTTGAGATCGAAAAATTAAAGTCAGATGTGCTGGGAGCATACTACGTGACTAATTACATCGTGCCCAAAAACTTTGTAATTGCTGGCAGACGGTCGTTAATAAGGAGTAATTATATACTGCCCAATTTATAGCGGAATAGTTTTTCTCGTTTCGTTGAAAAGATATCACATAAATCTTGCTAGTTCGTTCCATTAAATCCCACACAGCCACCAGTTGAGAGAGCCAGCTGAACACAAAAGCCTCACGCAAAGGGCAGAGATCGCGATGAAAAAGAAGAGAGAGCTATCCTTGTTCTTCTCTAGACTGTACTCGTAATGTACTACGTTGAGCGTACATGAAACCTTGCTTCGGATCTTTTCTGTCACAGTTTCTATTATGCACCGAATTAAATCAAAGGCAAGTGGCACGATGAATCCCCATGACGTGCGGGATTAATACGCCTAGCAGGACAGAATTAGGCGCTCCTGAGCAGGCGCCGCGTGGCGCCTTTTACAAGGAAGGTACGCCTTATCAAGCTGCAGCATACTGGCCCAACGCGCCCTTCACCCACAAATGTCCGACCGATGCTGATGCTCGTATCGCTTCATTTGCGAAGTACAATATGAAGCGAAGGGATTGATATGAAGCGGCTGCGGTGCTGCATGGATATATGAGTACATACATGCAGCCGTATCACGTAGCGGTTACTGGCACGATGCCAACGACAAACTCGTCCGAAATCGCTTTCTGAGTCGTGTGGAACGAAGGCTTTTTGCAGGTTGTTGACCGTTTCACTTCGCTTTTTCGCTGACCTTCTACCTTCTCGGAACTGTAAATTGGTACTAGATTCTTCTGGGGATAAGAACACTAACTTGTACATCGGTTGTCATTGCATAGGCCACATCGCATTCAATAAGCCACTACGATTCTGAATGGAAGTAGAATGCGTGCCGCATCCCACAAAGGGATTGATCAACGGCGAAGACTTTATCCTTTTTTGTTTATAGTACCCCTGCTACCATTTTAGGCAGAGTGCCAAATTATCGTGCCTTATGCATTTAAATTGCTGTTGCTTAAGGATATGATTTGTATTGCGGATACCAAAGTGGCCCGTCGTGTTGGAGAGCACTTTATTCGTCATATGCAGAAACTATATGAGGTAATTCAGTTCATATCAGCAAAGTTGTGCTAGTGTTTCTTAGGTAGCCGTTCTCATGGAAGTATGGCTGATTGTTTTCCAAATATTCCAACGCTCAATTTCCTTCAGGCTTTCACTTCATTTCCTTTTCAGGTCCAGAAGTTACTGAAAAAGTTGGAGCCAAAACCGTAACTTCAATTCTAGTAGTGATCCGGTTGTCAGTTTTCTTTTCCCTGTTTTTGTTATTGTGTAGACTTTCTATGTTGCAATTTACCAAAAATGGTGTGGATTTGTTATTGTTCAAATCGTTCCTTCTGTTTGTGATAAATTTGTTGAGGTGGTCTTTCACTACCGCTGCGGAAATAAGATTGCACGATGTGGTGCTATAAACATTAGCATCGTGTCATGGCTTAATTCTTAATTGTATCAGTCTCAGCGAGATTAGCCCGCGCGAAGAGGAAGATTATACGTCACCGTTGGAATTTCCTGCTCCGAAAACGTCGCCCATACGATTCCGTAAATGGAATTTGGATGAGAGAATACTGCAGAAATAGCAGGAGCACGCATTACTGCTCGTGGTTGAATGGGTGGCAGCAAGGTCCACGTACATGGTGCTAGGGCTGAAAATGTAGGATGTCAGATGGCGCTGCTCCTTAGCACACGCATGGTTCGGAGGTCAAGTCTCTGTGCGTATACAGGAGGCCAAAAAAACACTTCGGGCGAACCACATCCTGCCTTCACGTCATCGCCTGTACCTTCCACGAAACTTCGTACTGCTACAGGAATCGAAGGGCATTGGAAAACCTCGATACAGGCAGGAGCAGGCTCACCTTTACGTAAACCAAAATATAAAGTCATCTCCAATCACAGCCTGACTGGAGAGGGTCTTTGGGATTCCCGTCACCTACCAAACATCTGCGAAAACTTTTGTGGCGGAGCGCGCACCCCCTACCCTGGGAGGACCAGTACTCTCGATCTGGAAGACCTCCAAACCATCGAGCAGCTCCGACAACGTCGCTACGGTCTAGGACATCATCTTCACGCAGTCGCCAAGGCGCGAGTTTGATGGTATGGACCGGAAGTTCCTGGAATGGGAAGACCGAATATTGTTCTTTCGTGACTCGACTCGGGACGAAAGAGAACGCGAACGGTTACATCAGGGACCAAACTCGTGGAAGATATACCCTGTACCTTCTGGAACGTCGTAACAGCTACAGTAATTGCTGTGCCTCCCACGGAATCGAAGGCGTTGGAAAAACTCTCGCCTACTTGTAATGGAAGGGCGTTGAGTACCTGAAGAAGACGGAATATCCAAGTGTGTCACCTGACCTGAACCCCTCGATTACCGGGTTCGGGCGGAGCTCAACAGGGTGGTCTACAGTGGCGGAGAAATCAACGATCTCGCTGAACTCAGGTACCGAATCACGGTCGCGTGGCAGAATCTCTCGATGGCGCTCGTCCAGAAGGCTGTGGCGGAGTATCATGATAGTATACAATATGCTCTTGAATATGGTGGTGGAAATGTCCAATCAGAATTCAATAAAGTGTAACTTATATTGCCTTGAAAGTCAAGGAAGAAAAGTGTCTTTTTTTGGTGCCCCCTGTAGACTGTGTAGACGCAAATGCATGACCAGTCTAGAAATCCATTAATGCTGAACGTCTGAGCACTTTTGAAAACAGTCTTCTTTCCAGGAATGTAAAGCTCGCATATGCAAATCGAAAAATGGAATCAGGCAGCATAATCGCTCTACATACATACGTGGGCTCTCCTTGCATGTGTTAGGGGGTGGGAGTATGAATGGATGAGGAGATCCGAATACAGAACGCTCGTAAGCTGGTAACATTTCCTGACCTGACTCAGCCAGCTCACTGTAGCACCCTCGCATCATGCCAGTTAGCAGGTGGATGGCACATGCGACAACCAGGAATTCCGTGACAACCAGAAATTTTCGTAGTGGTCCTGGAGCGAAAGGTCAAAGCGCAGTTAAATAGAAGGTTGCGGCAGCTAAGGCACCAAAATGTACGAAAAAACATACCGAGCCAGGGTGACGTGAAATGCTAAATGTGTAACGTCACTGCTGTCAAAG